ACAAAGTTATTATGATATATCTACATATAATTTTTAGTGTTATAATTGAGTGAAAAATAAAAGTTGAGACATAAGTGATAATAAACCAAATACTTAGAATAATTACGGATTATAACTATAAAATTTCATATAGAATGATAAAATAAAACGGGACGTTTCACACGATTCTATAAGATATAACAACTTGTATACATATATAATAGAATAGAATAGAAAATTTAACTTTATTCTCTAAAATTTACCTATTAACGATGAAATCTTGACAGCTACTTATGCAGACGATACAACAATACTCACAAAACATCAAGATCCTACACAGGCCTCACTAACTCAACAACATCACTTACTTAAATTACAAGACTGGTTCGCACTATGGAAAATTCGACTTAATCATTACAAATCCAAACATACAACATTTACTCTTCGAAAAAACACCTGCCCCCCAGTTTATATTGACAACAATCAAATTCCTCAAACGGACCTAGTACTTTACCTTGGACTCACCTTCGACAGAAGGATGGCATGGGGTCCGCATGTTAAAATGAAACATAAGACACTTAACAAACGACTCAAACTACTTTACTCTCTTTTTTCTAAATCTTCAAAACTAAAACTAAAACAGAAACTGAATACATATACATACTTACTTAAACCCATATGGACGTATTCATCACAAATATACGGTATCGCTAAAAAGACCCACCTACTAAAACTTCAAACGTTCCAATAAAAATTATTGCGACTAAAAGAAGCACCTTGGTACGTGACTAACAAAACTCTACATACTGACCTCAACTTTCCAACAGTTGGCCAACATATAACGTTCCTTTATCAATGATTTTACACAGATTTAAATGGACATAATAACAGACTTATAAGAGATATGGCCACAGATGACATACCTCAGAACATGAAGAGGAGACTAAAAAGAGGTTGGATGAGGGATCTCCTTCCTTAGACAACCTAAGTAATTGGAACAAGTTAGGGAAGAGGTACTGCTGAGTACTTTCCTTCCCCATGCTTGTCATGTTGTTTTATCCTGCATCGCCATCACATTTGCTGATTGTCAACAATAAGTTGACAGGCGCAAATATATTTTTGATAGACAAAAAAAAACAAAAAAAAAACTCTATTCTGGGACTAAGTCCTCTTAAAATAACAATGATGAACAAATATAGAGGATAATAAAAATCTGACAAAAAACTAACTTATAAAAATTTTAACAGTACATACATTAATTTAAAAAAAATAATATGTAACCACTAAAAAAAAAATATATACGTATATTTCAGTGAATGGTCGACGATCAACTGATGTAGTGGCTATTCTTCTGTTTTTAAAATATTTCTAAGACGATCATTAGTTAAATATTACACGAAAATTCATATTTGAATCACATCCATTTTTTAAATTGTTAAAATAAAACTAGTTTTTATCACAACTATTTTGCAAAAGTTGGTTTTTTCTTCGAGTTCATGGGTGGCTATGAGAATCAATAGGAACTTTTGAAACTATACCGACACCGATTTGAAAATGTTCTGGAGATGTGGATTATTCTCCGAAACGTTTTGCAAATAATTATATTTATATTAAGACAAATAAAACAAAATTATTAATAGCAGTTTGTTGCTGAAAATCAAATACAATAGGTATAGTACGAGTACTTTGTAGATTGAAAAAAAAATAGGCATAGAAATTGGCAATAACTAGAAGAAAAACATATATCAAGGTTTCAAAAAGAACTGCAGAAACTTGTAAATCAACATCAATTAGAAAATTTTCTAGAGATTGAATAGTTACTATAAACGTTATGAAAATAATAATACGTTTTATGTAAATAAACCAAAATTATTAAAGAAATACTAAATTTTTAAATTAAATAACATGATATTTTTTATAAAATAGAGATTATAATTAAAATTATTTTATAAATTTTATAAGCTAAAACTTGTTTTTAGAACTCTTGTAGAATCTTGTACACTAACCCTGTGTTCTGAACGGTATTGCAAAACAGTATAACCGAACGCCGGTACTTCCCAACTTTTATGACAATAATTCAGTAATATATCCAATAATATTCTAATGATATTTTATAATATATAATAATAATAATAAGCTGCTAATTGTCACTACCGTAGACAGGTGCGAATGAAGATGTGGAGACAAAAAAAAAATTGATTACTACGTGCTATGAACTACTTTCTTTTAGCTATAAAAAATTATTTGCGCCTGTCATCTATGAATTAGTTGATTTAAACATTTCAATATTTAATCTATAGTAGTAATATCCTTTATAATAACCATGAATAATTTGAAAACCCCCATTCCAAATAAAAACAAAAAAACGAGGAACCAAAATAAGTAAATAGTGAAAAAAAAAAACCAGGCAAATTCCAGGTATACCAAAAAATTTTAAAAACTTTAACATTATATAAATAAATAAATAATATATATCATTTAAGATACTGTATACTACGTCTAATTTGTTGGTTACTATTTAATTAATATTTTTTCTTTATTATTATAATCTCTGTTTAAAACAGTTTACTAAACAAGATATGCCTTAAATAAATAAAACGAATTGTAAACTGAAATTTGTACATTGATGGTCAACTTCGGTTGTTTTAAATGCAAATTTTATAGTTTTAGTAAAAAAATATTCATTATTTATCATTTATCTTTGGTTCATTTTATTTTATTTTTTATTACTTTAACTATGTATTTATTATTTTTAGCATGTAGTGGAGTCCTACATTTTAAATTTGCAACACTTGTATTAATTATAACTTACGGTATGTGTGAAATTTACCTTCGACTTCATACGATTGAATGCACTATAATATGTTAATTTGTAGTGAATGATAAGTTTAAAGTGGACGTTGTATAAAGATTTAGTAGTTTAGTATCGGGTCACTGCAGTAGTGCAGTGAGATTTACAGCTCCTTCTACCGCAGAAGTGAACACTATTAGGTTCTCAGTTAAAGGAAACCATTCATCACGGAAACGTATCTTTGCCGATAAGGAGAAATGTGTAGAGTCGAAGATAAGGAATGAACGATCGCTCTTGATAATTGTTAATTTATGTTTTATGTATATCGTGTATTTTACCTCTTGTTAACTTATATCATAGATCGAACGCAATGGTGTTAATAAAAGCTCTTTAGTTTATTTTTTTTATTGTAAAACTTATGAGTAAAAATTATAATGATTTAAAAAAAAAAAAAAGAAAAGAAAAATACTAAAGCGAGTCAAATCAAAGATAATCAACTTTCCGCTCATGATTTTTGCATAATGACATGCTTTTAATACTGATGAAAAAAACAAAACAAAGTGAACACTATATATATATATATATATATATATATATATATATATATATATATATATATATATATATATATTTAGTAATTTTTAAAGTGAAAGCATTTCGGTGTAATATGTGCATTTTCTAACCTAATAGGTTTATAGTGTATTTTGATTTACATCTTAACGGACACTAGTGCAAATGATCGAATACTAAGTTTCGTTGAGTTCAATGTGCTCTAATGCGACGAGGCGTTGAATGCTCCGATTAGAGATCCGTAGCCTCATAAGTCACTCGGCCATTGAACCTCAGCAACTAATGAACAGTTCATTTGATTCAATTTCTTGTCCAACTTCTTGCTTCCCGTCGAAGGGTATTGACGGTTCGTATTTTCAGAGCAACGTAGGATTAAATTTTCCTGAATAACCTGCAAATATTAGAGAATTTTTCGGTTCTGAGCATGTCTTGGACAAGCCATTGAATTTTATGGAAAAAATACCAGAAGTGAGAGAATTTTACAGGTGATTAATTTCTCATAACAGTTATGAAAACGCACAGTTGATTTTATGATTCATAATCGATATCAGTCAAATTAAGTTTAGATTATAGTGACATGTACAAAATTATACAAAATGGCTCATCAAACATATTAATGTGCATTAATAAGTATAATTATTAAAAAAAATTATATATGTTGCTATCTAAAAATAGCGTTTTTCCCATAACTGAAATACCCCTAGAATATAGTAATCATCAGTAAACGCTATACTGTAGGAATAGTTTACTTTTTTTTTCAAATTCTATTGCTAACACATTTTCAAACTTTTTATTTTGCTTTTATTTAATAAATTTAAATTTCAGTATAGGCCTATTTAGACTTACTGAATCGAGCTTTTGGGCTCTATTAAACCATAGAATTCTTCTCGTATTCAATCCTTACAATCCAAAATCCTTCGTAAAATCTTCAATGTTCCTTACTTTGTCACAAATAAAATCATCCATAACGACTTTAACGTACCATGTATTTCCGATTTAGCCCAATCCAGATTCCTATCATTGCATAATAAACTTCTGAACCATCCGAGGAATGTATAAAGTAGATGGCCTCGCCTTCTAATATAGAACTTTAATTTGAGTTCTACCAATGGGTAGTTTCTCTTCATGTTGTACATGTCATGTTACCAATGTCACATTTACTTGTTGTATTTTTCGTGTAATAGAGTTGTAAAGTTCATTAAAAAAAAAAAATCAGTATTTTTGGTGATATCCCTCCTGTAGTTAGTTTCCGAGAGAATGGTTTAATATTTTTGTTTGTATGACAAAGAGAGACTTTTCAAGTGTTAGATTTCTTATAAGTACAGAATTTTTTTTACCATTAACAGTCTCTATTATCTTTTACAACTTTATTTGAATAGTATCTTTCGGTATCCGTGAACCATGTTCATCCCTTTTTCTATTTTGTCTATTTGAAATCATAAAAGATTAAAACAGTGTTCTAGTTCTTCGTCTCATTTCAACTTGACAAACTTGACTTGAATGAAAAATTCAATTTATAGAGATTAAAAATCTCTTTTTCAACTTGACTTCTTGACTCTTCTAATAAAGTTGTAAAATATAATAGAGACTGTTGTTTTTGTTGTTTTGTTTTGTAGGGAAATTAAAAATATTGCAAATAATCATGTGTAAAAATGCATACTTTCAGAGTTATTCGCAGATAAAGCTTATTTTCCTTCATAACGTTTTCACTGGAAATTTCGGGGTAAGTGACTGTTTTCCTACTTGAAGGAGAAGAAGATCCTCGAAATGAGTGGTAAATCAATGGATCTGAAAAAGAATTGATGAAGATATGGATTGACAAAAGAAAAAATAAATAAATAAATAAACACCTTATAATGAAATTTTTTAAAAAAGGTTCCTCTAAAAATAATTATCTTTTTAATTTATGCCTGTTTAATTTATTATAATTATAGTCTTTAAGAGTACTTTGTTCTCGCTGGTTAATTTTGGATGTCTTATGAATTAATTTAGATTCTCCGCTGACAATTCAAATCTCGAAAGAAAGATATGAATATAAAAGAAAAGAATAACTGTGTTGCAGAATAAGTCAAGACTGTGTTATAAGGGTGTTGCAGGTTTTTTTTTGTCCTTTTAAGATAGAAGAAGATAGGGCTTAGGAATGTGCCCCGGGGCATTTCTGCTTGTTGAGGGCGGGAATATGAAAGACTGGAGTTCTTAAGAGACCGGGATATCTCTCAGAAAAGAAGAATTTAATAATTAAGGTGTATGAGAGGAAAGAGGAGGAAAGGAAAGAGGAAACAACTTACACTGTACTCATAAAATGTCGTTTCTTCTAAAAATAAATAAGAATGTCTGGATTAAGTAGAAACTTAATTCGAGTTAAATATTAGTGGTTTCATTTGGCTAAAAATGTCACATTGTTTATTCAGTGTTCGTAGCCTTTCATTACTTTATCTAATTAAACAGTTTTTTCGATGTATGAGGAAAACTAAAATATTTATTCCCTTTAATTATAATAAAATAAAAGCCAATTTATTAATGTAGAACTTAGTTCCTTCCTTTTTCATTCTCTTTCTGGTTTCATTTTTTTTTTAAACTTATTTATTGAAAAATATTACAATCTGTCTCTAGGATATTTATAATAGAGTTCACAGATCACATTCACACTCATGTACTCAGATCACATGTACAATAAATAAAATAAATTATACAGAAAAATAATATATATACAATAAATAAGAATAAAATAACCTAAAAATAAATAAATAAAAAGAACATATACACACCTATATACAATATTTACAATTTGGCGAGAGAACCAGAAACCAGACTTGTCCCTCCAACTGTGGAGGGAAAAGTTCTGCTTTTATTAAAAAATACAAAAACTGTACTGGCGGCTTAAGAAAATTGATTTTCTTATCGTAGTATTTTTATTTGAAGTTTTGAAGTCGAATGTTGTTTCCAATGAGGATACTCATCGGGTTTTACTTAAATCATAAATAAGACAAATTAAAAAAAAAAGTTTTACAAAAATTTTTACAACAAATACACTGTATTTTAATAAAATAAAAAAATTGCCTTTTAAGATTATCAAATAATTTAATTATTGCTTTGTTTGGTGATTGAACATCAACTGAAGTTATTATTAAATTCCTCTGTACTAGGTCAATAACTGCATTTAATTAAAATACCAGGAATTAGTTACTCGCATTAGTTTTGGACAGTTGGTCCATTCATGGACTTGTTGGACTTTAAATGTAAATAATAAGCTTTCTTGTTGATTTATATGTTCTTTTTTTTTTTTTTTTTTTTTTTTTTTTTTTTTTTTTTTTTTTTTTTTTTTTTTTTTAGATTTAAGAACAATGATCCTCTTTGACAACCGTATGAATAAAGTTCCCAAAAGAAAATTTTAAAATTCCTATCATTGTAGTTTCTATCGTGCTCTTGAGATCAGTGTGTTTCATACCTTGCTACTAACAATTTTGCTAAGAGTGAGCTGAACATTTATCTTATCTGATCTTTATCGTTATCTTTATAGTTAAACAAAGATTATAGAATTCGTTTTTCTGAGGCATGTTTATTACTGGAACCGGCCCTTGATCATTAGTAGAACGATTGAATTTCGGTGGATCCATCACTAGTGCAAGAAGGAGATTTTTAAAATGGAGATCATACCTGTATAACTGAATATTTTTTCAATTTTAAATTGTTAAATATAAAAAGGAGACCCTAGAGATTCTAAACCTTGAACGGAGAAGTTTATAACTATAATAATTACGGCGACATAAGCCAGAAAAGACAAAAAATTTCTTTGCTATTTCCATCACTGATGCGCTTACCCTAATTATTGGAGTAGTTTTTGGCCTTTTTCGAGATTAAGTGACTAGCAGATTGAATTAATGTTTTTTTTCAATAAAACGTTTGTAATTGTCTGAAACGGTTACATAGCATGATTATAATGAAAGCTATATTTATTTAATGAAATTTACATTTGTATAAACAATACAACTAGTAAAAATGCACACATTAGAAATCATAGACTTGAAGAGATACTGCCCAGTGGTAGCATTCCATATTTAATTCTTCTTTTCAGACGCTGTTAAGGCCACATTCATTTTTGTATAGCTTTTAAATTTTATGAGGAGTTGGTCGAGGTTGCGGTCAAATAAATAAAAAATTAAAATATATTAATTATTTTAATTTTTGCCGACGTTTCGACCCACTTTGCAGGTCGTCTTCAGGGCTACAAAAGATACAAAACATGTTGAAAATAAAAAATAAATATAAGTATATATAAAACAAGAAGAAGAAGTCAGATACAGAAATAAAAGATAATATCAGAGATATAGTGGGTGACAATGTAGTTAAATATTAAGAATTATATATGTAGAAGATACAAATAAATGGAAAATAAGTAGGAATACAAATAAAAATAAAGGAGAATATAGCATGTAAGTTAAAATTTTATTCCTACTTATTTTCCATTTATTTGTATCTTCTACATATATAATTCTTAATATTTAACTACATTGTCACCCACTATATCTCTGATACCATCTTTTATTTCTGTATCTGACAACTTCTTCTTATTTTATATATACTTATATTTATTTTTTATTTTCAACATGTTTTGTATCTTTTGTAGCCCTGAAGACGACCTGCAAAGTGGGTCGAAACGTCGGCAAAAATTAAAATAATTAATATATTTTAATTTTTTATTTATTTGAACGCACCCTCGACTAACTCCTTCTCATATTATATCAACGGTCAACCATCTCTACATCATTTTAAATTTTATATTTGAAATATGGGAGAACAGTAGCGCCATCTACTGGTCACTGTGAAGGCGCCATCTATTGGTGGAAGGTGGAACGAAAAAAATTCCTGAAGTTTCTGGTGAATCTCTTATCTGGGATTCTAAAGTGCAAGCCCTGATCTGCATGTTATACATATCTCATATACACGGAAAAATGAGTAGATAGACACCCCCTATAGGAGAAGTGGCTAGGGAGAGCCAGGAAATATGTTGGCAGGCGACGGAAGAGATTCATGAGAGTGAACCGGCGAGAAATATCAAGAGGATGATGTATGCAGCAAAATTCACAAAACCACCTTCACCAATCAGCAAACCTCAAGTAATTCCTATAATTAATAACTAATCCATTAACAACAAATGTTCATGATTAGGGACCCCAATCAACTACCCAATGATACAACCAATCAACCTCAGCAGATGTAATATTTTATTTTATATTTCATACTTTTTCTTAATTAAATATTTCTTCACCTTAGTTTGACATTCTTTGAACACCCCTACTGATCTAATTTAGCATTAGGGTTATTTCCTTCCTACTACGGGATAAAGGAAGGCCTATTGCACTCAACAGACGCCTAGGGGGATTATCAGGAATCGAGGAAGAAGCAAGGCAGGAAACAAGTGGATTCGAATGGGACTGGAGTTTATCATGAAAGGATAGGTATCTGGCTCGGGTTAAATCAGTAGTGAAAGCTGATATTTTTTTTTTATTACCTTTGAAATACATTCTATGCAAATCCATATTAAAGTGCATTCATAAATATTTTATTGAATCCAGAAAAATCTTTTAGTCTGGAGTTACTCCAAATGTAGAGGGACAAACAACAAACTTGTTTTAGTAGGTCAGGTTCAGGTGCGGCGGAGCACACCGTTACCCTGACCTGGTCCAACCACAACCTGGTTTCCCTGTCCTTCCTGACCGTTTGCGAACCCTATTTTCCTCTTTAGCCTCTTGGTTATAAATTATTATACCAGTAGCCAGTTAGGCAGGGTATTAGCTACTAATGTTTTACTAATTCATCATCCGAAATATCTGTGTTTGTAACATTATCGGCATACATTGTAATATAAATAAGAATTACAGATTTGTTATCCTATATAGATTGAAATAAAAATAAAAAATCTGGTGTGGACAACACGCTACTTACACTTAGTCCTCTACTAGATATAAATTATTTTCTGTCAATGTTGGGCTATTATAAAATCTTTGAAGTGCATTTTTAACCGAGCTAAAGCTTAAAGCTTACTGTTGACTACTTATTAATACCATTAAAATAACAAAATTTCTATTTATTATATCGACGGTTGATTATGGATTGAATGATCCGTTGATTATCGATTGTACGACTATTAATTATTAAACTATTTTTTTTCCATTACAATGTTTACTGAAATGTAATTACGATATCCGCAATGCCTGACATAGATATGCCAAACGTTGTTACAGCAATTGTAAGTGGATACTGTTGGGATATCACAAAGAAAATTCATCAAATTATTCACTAATTTAATTTTCTAAAAGTTACATGATGATCGGAGCAAACGGACGGTAGATCACTAATTATTTAAATCTAGAGTAAACCATCAGATCTAGAGTTATTAAACTACAGTAAATGTATTTAAGGTTAAATATTCATGAAATATTTTTATATTTCACTTTAGTTCCACACAAGGAGAATGAAATAGTATTTTAAGCAATGGAATTTGGAAAGTAGCATTAAAATATCACGAAGATGGTACCCAATAATACTTTTACATCTTTTTTTTTTATTTTTTTTTTTTTAGTATTAATACAGTCTGCCACACTGAAGAACATTGGTACTACGGCTATAGTATTCATTCACGCAATATGTACATAAGAAAGGAAAATAAATAAAAATAACCAACCGAATGATAATATAAT